ACATACACATGCAATTTTCATCAATATGCTAAAACATTCATAGCGTACGTCACAGAGTGCAGCTTTCAAATTAAAAAAAAAAAGAATGAGCGGGCTATGAATCTATGCAAAGAACTAGAATACATTTAAATTGAATTTGAAGAGCCTCAGCGATCACAGCTCAGAAATCCACAAGAAGCCAAGCCTTCGGCCAAACGTGCAACTCAATTATTTAAAAAAATGTCTAAAATGTAGTGCGGTGTAAATAAAAACAGAATGCGAGGATCTGCTAATCATTTAAACCCTACATTTAAGTGTACACAGCAAGTGGCACATGACTATCAGCTGTACATTTTCAATTTGATGCCAGCAACGTGCTCCAAAAGAAAGTCTGGACAGGGGCATGTTTACCTCTGTGTTGCATCACCTCTTCTTTTAACAACACTCTGCAAGCAAGAAGGCAAGAAAGGAAAAGGTTTCCCATTCCTGCTTGATGTGAGCACCTCAACAGTTCATGGCCTCTTTTTCATACGTTTGCTGTAGAATAGCAGCGCGCAAGTATTGAATACAAATATGATCTGGAGAGCAGATGCCATGCTAATTTCTCTAGTGTCTCGTTGCTTTACGTTTCACGGTCGTTTATTCTTTTCTAAAGGAGAAAATCTGTTTTTGGATTTCCCACTTGTTGTTTCTCAGGACTCCCGTGGCCTGATTCCTGGCCCCTTCATAATACACTTACAATAAGAGACCTCGACAGGATAATAAGTGTCATGTATAATTATCTCCAATCTGCCAGGTTTCCCTCCCAGTGGTTCCTTTCAGCACTTTGTGCTGGCCGGCGAGACCAGATACAAAGCAGTGAGGGCACACAGAGAAAGGCAAGGCTAAATGGCACAGGAGACACACACACACGCGCGCGCACAGCGGAAGCAAACCTGCCTTTGGGCTTTGCCCTGTTCTCAAAGACAACGACCTGCTCTTTCTCTGCCTCTAAAACATGACTCCCAACCAGTGCTTGACCTTTCTGAAGAGCAAACAATCCTCTGCCTGAGTAGGCCACAACTCACAGAGCTCTTCAACAGACAGGGGAGAGAAAAAAAACTAAGTTGGGACTGATTTAGAAACAGAACACTAGCATGTGATAATTAAAAAGAGAACAGGAAAAACGCTTAGCAGGATTAATTAAGCACAACAATCACAAGATGTGCGTGAGCCGCAGCCTGGCATAGGAGAAGACTAATAAATGCCTGCACACTCAGCAGAGCACCGAGATGGGGAAGATGCATGGGAAAGACATGAGAGATTAGCCCAGATGAAGACGGAGCAGGCCCCAGACCGGACACATGCCTTCACTGATGAGGCGTACCAATCATGGCACTTGGCATGAAGCAGAGCTCCTTGAGTACACACGGTAGATGGATACGTTTCATCTTCCAGCCTTGTGAGATGAGTAAGCCGATCGTGGCCTGGCTCTCTTCCACGTAGCCCCACATTACAATAGATGAGAAACAGGAGAGACAGGCTGGAGAGCAGAGGGCTTCTCTCATAAGCAGCCTGTTTAATCAGACACACGCACACGTGCAAGCCGAAGGCAGAATGGCCGGCATGCACGAGCTTTGCAAATGTCCTGCTGTGGCCTCAGCAGAAAAACAAAACACCCCAACAATCTATCTGAATGAATCCCTCTGTCGCTCTCATCTTCTCCCTCTCTGAAATTCTTTCCCCACCGTCCTCCCACTTCAATCCCTTCCCTCACAGTTGCAAAGTTTTCCATCTGCTCTCTGAATTACTGCCCCTGATCCCACAAAGATGGAAATCAACCAGTCATTTCAGGAGTCTGATTTAGGCCCAATCCTTACTGCCCGTTTGTATTCCATCCGCAGATGGTGGCCTGGCTCCTGCAGGGAACACTTCCACTTGGTGGATTTACTGCAATTCTGTGGTGCGAGGCAACATTTTCTACATGATGGGTATTTTTTTTTCTTTCTCCAGCAATAATTCACAAATGCATCAGAGGGTCTTTTTTTTCCTCGCCATTCAGTTAGAAGCTTATTACAGTGAGCACGTCTAATGGACTCTCAAGAACCAATATGTAACAGCTACAAATAGGCGCCGGGAGATGAATAATACTACAATAATAACCTTTTGCAATAAAGAAAATAGTCAAATTGGCACAGCATAAACATTTAAATAGCCTGGGAACACTTCTTTTGAAATAATATAGCGACTGAATTATTTTAGCCACATATATACCGTTTTATTGTTGTCTGTTTGGTACATGTATCAATACATCTGCTAATGCTTGTATAGGTGTGTGTTAACTTTTTAGTTAGTCAGCTTACTATGATGCATGATTAAGTTACATTACTGTTTTTTTTTTCTTAAAATTATGTAAAAGACGATCTGATTATCATTGCAGCTCCATCCCCTCTATGCTTCTAAGTGCAGGTGTTTCCATATTACACATCCCAGGATCGGTGCTTTTGTTTATGCAGTGTAAACCTGAGGCCCCGAGGTGTTATTCATCCCATGCCATGCTTAAGCTAGACAGTCTGGGCTCCGCGGCCCTTTTCATCTTGATCTAAGCGTTAGCTTATTCAGGGAAATAAGCAAAAAAAAGGATATTCTGCCTTAACTTTAGATCAAACTGGGAAATGAGTCATGAGACGCGGGATAATTACACCACTCAGTTGACAACATTCAGTGCTAATAGAGGAGACAGATGGTAAGTGAACATTCGTTCTATTCCCTTAAGAGACAACAGGGGAGTGAAAGTGGCAGTTTGAGCTCCATAGGAGGGAGGAAACGCGCTCATATAGCTGTACAACTGGAACGTCGACCGTCTACATGACGGGCTCTTTATGCGAATTTGATGCAAATGCCGTGCTTTTCTTTATTTTTAATCACACACACTGCAGTGAGTCCAGTGCAGCAGATAGAGATAATAATCATTTCACTTGACGGCCTGCATTGACCCAAAGCACAAGCAAGAAAGGGTTATGGCTTGAAAGATATGGATCGGAAGAGGTGAAAGGGGCGAGAAAATGAAAAGAGAAGTGAGCCCTAATTGTTCTAAAGACGTGGTCCTCGCCCAATCACAGCAAAAGAGACTCTCTAAAGATTGTGAGATTCAAAGCTGCATTTATGCGTGCTCCCTAACTTCGCCTCCCACAGGATTCAGGTAGGTGGAGGAGCCATGAGGGGAAGTCAAGCCAGGGGAGAGGAGGAGGAGGAGTGGCATCAGTCACGTAGAAGAGAAGCTGCAAAAACTGGCAACTAAACTGTTACCTATTAGCAGCTAATGGGAAGGTGGAAGACGTCAAGGACTTGCAACACTCCAGTTAACAAACTTTTAAAAAAAAAGAAAAAGGAACGACAGCATGTACATTTTTGTTGACAGACTCCCTCACACAGCGTTGCGTAGTGAAGCGTTGCTGTTCCATTCAGCTCTTTTAATTACCTGTGTGTGATTTAATCCTTCATATGTCTCAGCCCATTCCTCTTAATGATGTGCTCCATTCAGCTCTCCACAAAACATATTATGCTTGGTTTGTTGGGGGGGAGGTTTTTTATTTTTTTTAGTGCTGTTTTTGTTGCTGCTGCTTCTTTCACTTACACAGAGCATCAGTGGCTTCTCCCTTGTCTCATGAACCACTAAGCAGGGCAAGAAAGAAATGCAAATCCTGGCAAAAGTAATAATGGAAAACATCAAGCCAATTTCCTTCCGCAGGTGACAAGCGCTGTGGTGCATATTTATACAGTCTGCCGTGTAAATGATATCCATGTTAACGCCTTATTAGCCTTATTAGGTTTAATGCACAATGTGCATATGCATGTGTGTGCATTAATTCAAACAGGCCCAAGCCGTTTCAGGCACTGAGAAAAAAAAAATTAATCCAGAACACCTGAGTTTATACCTGTATCTGAATAAACGTTTAATTCCTTAATATGACATTTATTCTCATTGCTTTTTTTCTTTCTCCTTCCACCTTTCAAATGAGGCAGTTTTTTTCCCCATTTCTTTTCTAAAGATTTCATTTATAAGGTATAATCCAATCTCAAGAATAAACTAGAGGAAAAAGTCAGACACTGCATCCTATTCATGTGAGAAAAAAATCCTCAGTCTCCCAATCCAGCCTGGCAATAGACGAATAGACTTCTTCCAACAATAAAATCAGCCTCTAAAATGTTCTTTTTTTAACGTGTCAGTTTTGAAATTAAGAGCCGCTTGGTGAGCTTTCTGCAGCCAGACAGCCCACCTCGTCCAAGGAGAAACAGGAGCATCTCACCACCTTGAGATAAAAATGTGGCATCTGTGAGAAAGACTCATCTAATCCCAGAGTGCACGCGACAATTAACCAGTAATCACAGCAGTGTCACATTCAAACTTTTTAAAGAGTCTCCGACTCCCCCTGTTTAAACCGACGCCGGTGTGGTTTTGGTTTTTGACGGGGGGGTCTGGATGTCATCAAGGATTGGGTCAAGGCTGTGGGGATATGAGAGACTCGTGCACACATGCTCTGCGGGGATCTCTGATTTTATTTTTCGTTTTTAAGGAAATGAACTGATGTCTAACTTTGGATCGCAGACACCGTTCAGGCTACCTGGCGCCTTTAAATGGGGCTTGGGCGATAACAGAAAGCAGAAGCGGCGCAGCGCAAAAGGGCTGTGCTGTTTAGGGAAATGGAAGCTTTTTCCCCCCCGACCCAGAGCACCCATTCGCAGTCATCCTAACCACCAACCTTTGTTTTTTTTCTTCCTTTTATTAACCTTGGAAACTTGAAGCTTCAGTTTATAAAAGTTATTGCTCGTAGCTTCTGCTGGGAGGACATCGTCCCACGGTAAGTCGTGGAAAGGGGCAGAAAGGCGCAGATAAACGCAGCAGCGTGTTTTGGAGGAACAGGAGCACAAAAGTTGGCACCTCCACCAGATTCGCTCCGCTTTTTCTTTCAGTGGACTTTCATCCGCATGGTAAAACTTCCCAAACGTGTCCACGAGATCGAGATGAACGTGTGCCTTACCTGTTGGCCCCTCGATGCCATCGGCGTAGATCTGAACAGTCAAAATTAAGAGAAAGGCGCAGGTGTTCATCGTGTAGATGATTTAGTCCACTTTAAATGTGCAGAAGAAATCATTTCATTTACTTGGTGCGATCCGGCAGCGCAGGCAGAGCGGAGCCCATTTAGTCCCCCCCCAAAAAATCTGACTGAGTGGAGTTTCGGAGACACTGAAGCAGACAGGGCAGAGCTAGTTCTGCAAACTGACGTCAGGGTAAACATTTCAGGGGAGAGATTTCTTTCTCAAGCCCACTTTCAGTCCCAGCCTCCACTTCGCCCTCCGCGGGATTCAGAGTATGAGCCGGGCGCCTCCAAGCGGTCAGATCTATCAATGGCACCGAGGTGCTCAAACGTCGGCGAAGCAAAACCCCACAATGTGAGAGATTGTGTGTCTCTATACCTGTATGTTTGTGAGAACCCTTTAGTTGGCAATCACTTTTTTGCGACTCTTTTATTTGACCTCACTGCCTCAAAGTGCTATCTCATGTGTAAAAGTAGATTGTAAGATTTAAAGAAAGGTTAGTCACGCTGCTTTAAGAGGTCCAGGCACAGAGATTAGATTTGGCTCAGACAGTGAGATACTTTTCATATATTTAATGTTAAGGAGAAGCTCTCTAATCTTCCCTGGCCAGAGGCTCCAAACACAGGTACAGGAGTCTGATAACAATGCCTACAGGCGGAGGAATAGCCTACTTATTATTCCAGCTAAAGCTACATCACTGCACACAGTTGAGAATTAAAACTAAACATTTTAATTTCACTCCTGTTTAAATATGCTAAATCATGTTTTAAAATCATATCAGCAACCTGAGGACTAATGAATCAAGTAATGCACAAACTATCCTGGAAAAAAAGATTTTTTTTGTCATGTTAGCGACTGTTTTACAGCTGAGGTAAGACGTATACTCACACAAGACAGACAGGTAAGCATGCCTTCACGCCTACCCATGACAGGTGCAAAGCATATCTCTCCATAAATTATGTGGTCTGTCATGTTGTGTGCATTGAATTTGCATTTAATGAGACTACATTTTCTCTCCAACCCCAGCTGGCTGTGTTTGTTGGAGTCCACCTGATATAATGGACGGCAGAAATCAGGTATCATGCAGAGTGAAATATAAAACACAGATGGAGCGACTACATGGAAAGAGGTAAGAACCCCACCGTGACTTTGATACATATAAATGCATATCTGGTTGTCTTGCTTGTCCTGTCTGGTGTGTGTGAAAACACAAGTTGTGTATTTGAATATGAATTCCTGGATATTCTTTCCATCCAGCAACGTGTGCACTTGTATTTGATTACAGCTTTTTTCTTCCCAGCCTAAACGTCTTGCGTAAGTGCTGATGTGACAGTCGCTCTTGTTCAGGTTAAAAGCTGACACGTTTAGCTGCTGCTCCAGGACCCCCAATTTGATCAAGATGCCATTAAGCAGGCTAATCATCATTCATTTTGCTGCGATGTGTGAGCACTAAGGCCGTGGATTAAATTAAAGGTGGCCACAGAGATGCATCTAAGTCCAGACATGAGAGCACATTGCAGACTTTAATGCCGTTAGCCCGGAATGACAGATGAATGATACGACGCTCAGCCGATTACTTAATTTAACCAAAGGAGCACAATATATGTCAGGCTAACAATTCTAATTACACCTGCGTGATGCACAGCAGAGCTTTTCTTCCAAGTATTCGAGCCACAGAGCAGCAATTTATATAAACAAGCTCAGAATTCTCCATTATAGTTTAATTTGTGTTAAACTTAATAGAATGTTGCAAAATACTGTTCGAATAATCCAACAGCAGGACAGGTGTCAGCGGAGATGCTGAGAACCGCACTACGATGAAAGTCATTTTATCAGCTGCCACTCACGTTGCCTCACAAACAACTACATCTGCCCAGGCAGTGTTGTGCATGAATTGATAATAACATATCATCAGAGTTCTGAGAGAAGCTGTCAAAGGCCTCGGCATGCAGCTCGAAAATCAAACAAACAGCGAAACGCAACGGGGAGGCAAACATGAGAAGGCTACTGTACTTCACTGTGTGTGGCCTAAAACGCTGAAGATCGGTCAGTCAAACCGGCGATACCTTAAAAAACAGGACAATTTCCACCGGCTGTCAAAAAGAAACTGCAAGTCCAACACAGTGATCAGGGAACTCACAGCAGCAGTGTTTCCTCCTCTGCAGGCTGATAAGCTGTTCAAATACACTCGTTTCTGTTGTGAGGAGGTCAGTAAGGTAACAGGTGTCCGCGTGAGACGTTAGAACAATCTGACTGTGAGAAGTAATGAGATGAATGAAGCCGCTGAGATTAAAACCAGCAGGGAAACTTTGAATAAACAATGACCTCTGTGCGCAATTTATTGGCTTCCTGCCTGTACGGTCAGTAGATTAACCACCAACGTTTTCCAATTTCCATCAACGCCCTGACTTTAAAAAGGATCAGTAAATTGAGTGGTGTGAAGTTAGCGCTTGAAGAAAACTCACACGCTGCTGCTGTTAATTCAAAATGCGAAGGTTTTTATTCAAAATGCATTCATTATCGCTCAAGGTCATTTTGATGGCTATTTCTCCCTTCTTACTTTTAACTAGCAAGGGGATAGTTACTGCAAGATTCTGTATTTGTTAGTACTCAGTGTAAGGGGCGTGATTAGAAACTGGGAGCCATACATCTTCAGGCAGGATGTGTCTGCAGGTGGTCAAATCCTAATCACAGCCTGAGTGAGAAATATTTCACAAAATCTAAAAGATATAAATCGCAAAACACAAGTAACAAAATAAGTATTTTACAAGTTGCTAAAAAAATCTATCATTAATTAGTGACAGTGTTCAGCTAGAGGAAGAGTGTCATCAAAGACGACAGACTTGTAAAGGATTGGAAACACTGATACTATGTGGGTGATAATAATAAAAAAAACAACCAGACCAGCACACGTTCATTGTCACCTGAAATGTCAATGATTTTTTCTGTTAAGTGCTGGTGTCATATAAAATCTCAAAAAGCAGTAATAAATCTTCGTATTGCAAAATAGGGCATATTATGACACCCATAATGACTCGAACAATGGTTTGGGACAGTCGGTCACTTAATCGACGAGTCATTTCAGTTGTATTACCTCTGATGCTGTAAAATCCAGCATTTCCATTTAAGAACATTAAAAAGCGTCTGTGTGAGAAGACAACCCCACTAACCGCTGTCTGTACTGCATATTTCACTGTGGGAAAAGTAGAGTTTGACAAAGTCATATTGTTTTTAATTGTTTCTCCGCTCCGTGTCTTCTTTCAGTTCCCGGCACATTCCCTCAATTAGTCCCGCAGAATCCCTCTGGGGTCGTCTGCCTCACTTACTTTTATGTTTCTTTGATGCCTTTCTCCCCATAATCACCTTTTCAATGTCGTGCAAGCCTTCTGTCACCTCGTCCCTTCTAACATGAGATCCCTCCCAAAACTTTACACTCCCTTGTCTAGGTTCTTTGTGGATCCCTGATGTGTCCTTTCTCTTGTTGCCTTCCCTTCCCAGCCCATGAAACTCCTCCTGGTTGTCTGCCTCACTGATCTCTCGGTCCCCCTCCAGCGTGGCACTGTGGACATCCCTGTCTGTCCTGCCAGTTTCAGCATGACAACGCTGGCTGGTGTAGGCAGAGAAATGGGCAAAGAGCTGAGGGTTTATTGTGAGATGAGGGTAAGATGCAGCACATAAACCTGTGATAGAATGAGGCTGGATCGCTGTGGCTGATTTGACAGAGGGCAGCGAGCTCTGGGGATGGCTGCTCGTCTTGCTTTTACGCTGAGTTCGAGGGTGTTTTAGTGATGCGGCTTTTTTAGATGTCCCTTTATCACAGCTCTGCTTCCCCTTGTCCTCCGAGAGCTCATCGAAGTCTACACAAGAAGAAAATTATCGTTAATTCGCTTCATCGGGGTATCTCTGCATGTGCCGCGTGATAGTTTTGAATGCTTTCTCACCATAAACACTGTTATGGATCTTTTTCTTTTCAGTCTGGCTGCGCCTCAGGTCTGTGGCTTGTTTCACCGAATCCAAAAGCCCAAACATCTCACACAAGGAATTAAGCAGCATGACATCTAACAAAATAATCAAGAGTCAGCTACAAGGCTTTTGAATGATTTGTCCACAATGAAGTCAGCTGTTTGCAAAATCAATAGCAATGAATTTTCAAAGATTTAGCTGGCGGGGCCTTTATTGAAAATCTTTTTGAAACCTGATTTTTCAAGTTTTGACTCAGCTGACGTTTTATTAACATCAACACTGAATCATTTTTCACAGTCCAGAGGTTAGATGGGTACCACTGTGGGCACTTACCTGTTTCCTGCAGGTTTCCGTTCTCACTGCGAAGCTCCACCCGCTTAAAAGTGCTGAACAGTTCATTCTGGAGGCTGGATAGGACCTCCCCCATCATCCCGCAGTCTGCCACACCCTTCCACAGAGTCAACACCCCGTCTACAGGAGGTCAAATAGGTAGGGCGTTATAATGGGATATCAAGAAATCTATGCAAGTGTGTGCATGTTTGTCCTTTCGTTTTGTTAGTTTGTGTAAAAGTATACAATGCTTTGTGTTGCTGTGGGGACAGGCAGCAAGAAAAATAGGGTTGGAGGTGAAATTTGGAGAGAGTCAGAGCTTTGAAAGAGGAAGAAAAGAGAGAAGAAAAACAGAAACAGAATATGTCAGGGTTGGATAAACACTGGGAACAAATATACAGAGATAAAGGAAATAGGAGTGATGCAGCAGTTGGAGAGAGGATGTCAAATATGTGACAGAGGGAACGACAAAAGAGTGTGAAAATGGGTCAGAAAAGAGGTGCTCCAAGAGGAGAGAAAGGAGGGCAAGGCGAATTTGAGAGTGAATGAAGAATTACTGGAGATCTGCCAAAAGAAAAGGAAAACAAGTCAAGCGCATGAAAGTGGTAAAAATGTCAAAGATGCTTGATATGAAATGCATGCAAATTCATGTTTGCTTAAAATCTGTCGAGATAAATGCAGAATGTCTGGTGAAGATATTCCAAATACCGTTTAAGGCCCTCCGAAGTTTAATTCATTCATTTCTTTACATCGTGCATTACAGAGAAGCAGCGCATTTCTTCAGCAGCTGATAGAGGAGTAGAGGTGTAAGCTGTGAATTGGCTACATGTTTTAAGCCCTATGACTCCTTATTTCGTTTTATTTTGCTTCCAAGGAAACTAGACTTTTTTAAAATATTTTTAAAGCGAGCAGCAGTTCAAGTCCAGGTTTTCTGAAGGTCTTTCAAACGTTTTTCAGTCCAGTCCTTGTACCTGACCTGATTTTAGTGGAATGTTTCTTTTGTTTGTTAAGTCGTTTAACATTGACCTGTGAATCTTTCAAGCATAAAAAAAAACATTACACGTGACAAAGAACTAATTTTAAATTGTATCTTGATGGAGTTTATTACAAGCAGCCTGTGTTAGATTTATGGAAGATGCCAAAGATGTCACGGTTTGATATGCAAAGTATTATTGAAAGGTTTTGTCATGGTTCATGGAAATGTTGGAGATCGTGTCAACAAACTTGATGGAATTCTGAACACAGAAAAACACCATCAGATTTTGATCCGCTATGTAATACCATGTGGAAAGAATCTGACTAACACTGGCTTCATGTTTCAGCATCACAGTGATACCAAACGCACAACGGAACACTATCGGTCATGGATCGGCCTCCCCAGAGCCCAGAACCTCCTCGAGACTACTTAAAGAAAAGTTGAAAAAAGCTTGAATCAGAGGTTTTAGGCTGTGTTGAAGATTAAAGGTGGTCACACCAAATATTGACTTACAAGCTTGTTAGAACTTTACAAACTCTGTTTTTGACTTATATACTATACTTCAATGTATGTTTTGACATTTTAGTAAATCTCGGCACATTTTTCCCTTTGTCCTAGCAAAATATAAAGAAACGATGGGTGTGTCAAGACTTTTGCACAGTACCAATATCGATGCATCTCTAGGCTAAAGATGCATCGATATCTACTGTCATCTACTTTAAAGAGCACCTGATAAGGTCACTTAAAACACCCTTAAATCAAAGTTTTGGTTAGAATAGCACTTAGAAATGTCAGATGGGGTCAGCAGCTCTTTAAGGACGGTCTGCAGGAATGGCACAACTGCAGATTCAAAGGTTCAGTGGTTTGGTGGAGGGGTCAAACAATTGATGCTGCAAGAGGTGTGACACAAGGGACAAATGGACTACAGGATGACTCATTTAAACCCTTCAGGGCAGGTTTCAGGGCTCACAGACATACAACCTCTTGAAGATCTGTGGGCTGAAGTTGTGCCTCCACCCATGATAGCATTGAAACTTTTAAAGTCAAACATTTCTAAGAAACATTTCCTTTAACAGATGGAAAAGTAACACATGCCAGGAGTAAATAAAACCTTCATGATGCCGGAGCCTACAGGACATATTCTAGCATATAACCTGACAGACATTTGCAGTTAAACATGTGACTTGCACATGCTCCATGTGCTGTGCCCAAAACTGCAGTAAGCCACTAAATGGCTTCTAAACAGAGCATATACCCATGTGGCGACTGCTTAAACACCCAAAGTGGAGCAGTAGAGGTGAGCGGTTTGCTGCTGTGTGGGCTATCATGAAAGGAGATGCCATCTGCTTTCCCGGTTCCAACAGTGACTGATTGTGCACAGATTTTCCCGCTGAACAGTAATTATCTGGGTGTTATCTTTATTTAAAATAGGGCGTACCTGCCTTATGCAATTTATTAATCTATTCAACAAGCACCCCAGTGTATGCACGTGTTCTTATAATTACCAGGTACGTCAGCCAGCTTTCTTTTGGTAGCATGTCCATTGGCTGTTACAGGGTTTAGAAGCCTCCGTGGACCGTTGCTCCACTCTGCTGCTGCACTAATCCTATCCTGCAAACTCTCCTGCACCTCTGCCGCCTTATGTGCATCTTCTGAAATGGGAACAAAATGCAGTGAAACCCATAATGCGACCACTCCTCTCTGGATTTTATTTTCTTCTGTGCGGTGGTGAGGTAAACATTAAAAGCAAACTTTTTATTGCTGATGTTTATATTTAAACGTCAAGCTTATTAAAGCGTTCACTACTTTCCAAAAAATAAAAAACCCCTAAGGCTGTGTTTCTTTTCTGTAAATGTTCAAGTGGTTTCCAAAGGGTTTAGGTTCTGTTTCCTGAGTGATGCCGCAGCAGCCCAAGCATATGTGGGAGGCAAAAAAAAAGCAGCAAACTGAATGCCAACTGAAATCTACCTGTCACGGGAGACACCTGCCCTCCAACAGGGTCAAGAGCCAGACACGACAGGCTCGGCTGCACCGAGTTCCCAGGAGGAAGCCGCGTTCTGCTGATCAGCACATCAAATTTAGTGCTGTGGCAGGTGTTGCTGCACAGGGTGTCATGCTGGTAGAAATCTATCTGGCCGGAGTCCATCATTTTCCTGCACGGGGAGAGCCAGGTTAACACTGCAAAGTTTCCAGGAAAATATTTACGCTACGTAGCTACGGGGGGATGTTAGGACTGAATTTCCAGTGAGTTCCTGATAGCTTCTCAGCGGTGTGCTCGACACAGAGTGCCTTGATCTGGCCTCTGGAGGAATGAAGATGAAAAGAACAGATAGGGCCTTTTGAGCTTTGTGTACCATCTCACAGTAATACCAACAACAAGCGCAAACATGATAAAGAGGTGAGAAGTGTTTCTCGGCAGCTTGCATCCGTGCTATTTGATCCTGCTATCATGATAATGCCACTTACAGACTGCCTCTGGAATGCACCGGCAAACCCTGACAGACTCCAAGCAGCTGCAAATTATATGAGTGAGACTTTAGCTGTGCGCCGCTCTACAACAAAAAGCAGACAAAAAGAAGTTATATGAGTCTACCTGAGCATTACTCCTCCCAGCCTGATGGCTCTTTTCCAGTCCTTTAGAGTAGCTTTCCCTGCCAGATGCACAAACTGCTTAGGACTGATGAGCTCGTCATTGAACTGTTAAAAAAAAAAAGGGAGGACAGCACACATTATGTTTCTGAGAGAGTAATAAGACAGAAGGGACCAAAATGCCATCGCGGAGAAAGGTTTTCAAAAATTAATTTTGCAGTAATAATAAGGTAATAATTAAACGATCACACTAAACATCAACTTACTTTGACGCATCTGACGTTGATTCCGGGGCACACAAACTTCTTAAACAGCAGCACCGCCCTGCTGTCTCCGCAAGTGATGGGGTAGCCATACTCGACCTCATCTCCATCTGCTTCACTGTCATCTAAACGTTACAGAACACAAACATCGCCATGACCGCCTGCAGCGGCATTACAGTGTGCATTTGCAGTAATGAAAGTCAGAATCGTCAAACACCCCAGGAGGTTTGTCAATACTCTCCGTGTATATCTGTTACATGACAGTGAAGCTTGAGAGATTCATTATTCCGTTTACTGCATCGGTTAGACTGAATAAGCTGTGTGTTTGAAAGGTTCAGTTCAGCAATTAGTTGCAATGTCTTTGTGTCATTCACCATGATGCGTCTCTATGGCCAGGACTGTAGTGCCAGTGTCTGCAATGTCATCATTCATCCTGCAGAGGGCGACAGATCCACACATATAAAATAATTATTTATTGCACGCAAGCCTTGGAAATATTCTTAAAATGCGTGCAAGTTGGCTGCATGTATACACAGAACGACCAGATGTCACTCTTTATGTGGGACTGTAAAGCATTTGTATTGTTTATAGAGGAAATATCCTCAGTGTCAGTATTTGTTAGTTTGCTTTAAAAAAACTTTTACAATTTGCCTGATAAAGCATTGATGACGTCTTTATTGAGACTTTGGATGTCTACAAGAATCTCAGCCTCCATACAATAATAATTTAAGAAGTCTAAAACTAACACTGAAACTAAGAAAAAAATCAACTAAAGCCAAACATTTCCAAACAATAAAAATACTGGCAGCCACCAGTGCTACTCAGTGCATAATAAAGGAAGATTTTTTACTATAGTCAAAGGAAGGTCAGCCTGCATGATGGTATGCCTGTCAATGACATTTTCCCCCCAAAAAATCTGTCTTTTTATGGCAATGGGAGGCGCTACAGGAGCCTCCGGACTAAGACCACCAGGTACCGGAACAGCTTCTTCCCCACAGCTGTCAGACTCCTGAACTCTGCCTCCTGACATCTGACCCACGTTAAACTCATGGACTGAACATACACACACCCACAATGGACAACTGTACCCTCAAACACACAATAATAACATGGACTGAACCACCACTCACAACCACTAGTACTTTATATAGCCTCTGTAGGAATTATATCTCACTTATCTTAACTGCACTACTGTATAGCTCTGTGTAAATAATCATTCTGTACATTCAATAATTTTTAATCCTACAACTGTTTACAACTTCCATAGTTCCCATTTCTGTATAGCTGTATATCTCAGATTCTGTAAAGTTATTTATTTCATATTCTGTATAGTTTTTCATATTTATATCCTGTTCATATCCTGTACATAGCTTGTACTCACTACAGCCTGTACATACTTATAGTTATAGAATATTCACAACATACTTCATACCGTGTACATTATAACATACCATAATAGACCCATTTCTGTAATATACTCACATATCTATATTATTGCTAATATATATTGTAATATATCTATATCACTGAAGCACTTCTGGATGGATGCAAACTGCATTTCGTTGCCCTGTACCTGTGCATGTGCAATGACAATAAAGTTGAATTCTATTCTATTCTATTCTATTCAATCTGTGAATGCATCCATACTGAAACTCAAAGACTGTTAGCTAAAAGAATCAACAGTGAAATAACAATAACTTCAGTTTCCTTTTATGCTCATTGTATTTATTTAGCAAGAGTTGGAAAGGTTGCCTTTAAATATAATATAGTTGTTAAGGTGTCTCACTTTAGGATGTGGTCATCTTCTGTATACCTGCCTGATTTTGTCTGCATTAAACAACAGATGTATCTCACATAATTTGTTTAACACAAAGATCACTGTGCTCTTCACACAAACAAAGCGCTTATATTAATATGAGCCACTTTACCCATGCAGGACGGGCTGCAGGTGCAAGAGGACTTGAGATTTTTGCTCAGTACTGCTGTGCTCTCCCTCCTCTTCCCTCGCAGTCATGACCTCCTCTGAAGACACAGTGACCTGAGCACCCGCCATCACCTCTCTTCTCGGAGCTGCAGACAGAAAAGGGCGAGCAGGCGTGTTAACGTCCACATGACAAGTGTGCACGCTTTAATGCACATGCAAATCACTGAGTTTTACCCACCCACCCCCTCTAACAGCCTTTTCTTGCATGCAACTGTCATAGAAATGAGTCCATACAGGGCTTAAAATGACATAATCCTCACATCACCGGGCCTTGCTTCCTATGCTGCTGCTAAGAATGCACAAGAACATCGTAAATACTGAAACAAAAGCTTACAGCTTTTACTAAAGCACTGCCTACAAACGTAACACAGCAAAGTCTATTCAAGGATATTCATCTATTTAATTCATTCAGTCAAAGGAATAATCTGACATCAGATCAGTCAGTCTGTTGAACAAATGCAATCTGCAGGAGCATTGTTACCAGATGAAATAAAGCAGTCTGCAAAGCATGCTGCCATGTAGCCTGCCTATATGTATGTGTATGTGTGTGCTATAATTATGGCTACAGAACACCTTAAGAATTTGCTTTAAAAATTGGCACATAATCACATTATGGAGTGGTCAAATGTGAACAAAGTACCCACTGGACTGTGATAATATACGGTCAGTGCGAAATGGGAAACCGCTCCAGGGTAAAAAGCTACCGATTAATAATAAATAAAGTGCCTTTGCAATCATTCGAGCCTGGTTCTCTCTATTATATCACTTCAGTCCAACATAAGTAGGAGATGATAGCAGATACATATGAAAGGCACCGAGGAGAAACTCATTTATAAACTGTTTGGGTGATTCCACAGCAGAGACACAGTGGCTGGCAGGCTTGTTATGCAGTAAAGAGCAGATAACAGCACTGATTAATAACTTCCACGCTGTATTAAGTGGCCTTAACACAGTGTGGATCACCAACTCATACAGCACGAACAGTTGCGTGCCTTGCTCACACTCCTGCACCCACTCAAACTGACGTCTGCTTGGTGCGGAGGCACGCACACCCCGACAGGGACGCGCGACCCTGTCCTTTGAAAAAATAAAAATAAAAAGGCGCACAAAACACCGTGTCCGTGTCAAACTCCCACACACTCTACCTGCGACTGTATGTAGACATTGTCGTAGTTTTACTCACCGTTTTACAGCAGGGGATAATTCATCCTCCGGTCGTCAGAGAAGTGCGATAGCATGCGCAGTGCTGCTTCGCTTAGACTTCCTGCAGTGAAGGCAGCATTTGCCTGAGAAGCATCTGTCCCGCTGTCACGAGAAGCGGTTGGCTCGCACGCGATGTGTAAATCGGTCAGACTGCTCTTATGTGGCTTGGATTGAGCGCCTCCACGGCTGTGCACAGGCTGAAAGCTTTCCAGCCTCAGAGCATGTTTCCAATCCAGGGAAAATCCGCAAGAACTATTATTATTATTAGTAGTAGTAGTAGTAGTATCATTATTATTACACAAATTACATATCTTAGCTCAACAATCTGGGTTTTGTTTGTTACACGTGTAGCTTTATGGTTTTAATACGACAGGCTCAACCCTCACGTCACCTACATATTTGATTGATTGATTGAATCTTTATTTTGAACATGTTGAAAAAGTACAACAAAATAGAATTAAAAGAGACAAATGAACAAAGCAAAACAAAAGGAAAACGAGCAACCACAACTCCAAATAACGTTCATGTTCAAAAAGGAGCAGGAAGAAGCATAAGCTTATTTAATCCCAACCCTTTTCCACTATCTAGTATCAATAGACTACAGAAATACCTCCTTGCAATTACATTATATGTCATGTGTATTTTTTTTTAAAATATATATACATATATGTTTCTATCTATCCATACATACGTATATACACATACGCATATATACACATTTTCAATAACCCCATTAACACCTCAGGGATACACAACCTACAAATATATATATATATATACCCATACCAACATACCCGTGCATTTTTAGAATATTGTCAGGAAGCAGGTTATTTATTGCTTTATATATAATTTGTGCTGTGAGAAAATGAACCAGATCTGTGAATTTTAGAATTTTTGATTTTAAGAATAGTGGATTTGTATGATCTCTGTAACCAGTTTTATGGATTATCCTTATGGCCCTTTTTTGTAATATAAAGATTGAATGATAGCGAACATTTGTAAATATTGCCCCAAACCTCTGCACAGTAATTCAAATACGGTGCAATCAGGGAACAATAGAGAATGTGGAGTGATTTGTGGTCCAGAATGTGTTTTACTTTACTCAAGATTGAGACACTTCTTGAAATTTTGTTATGTATATGATTTATATGAGACTTCCAGTTTAATTTATCATCTATAATCACACCAAGAAACTTATGTTCAAGTACTCTTTCAATTTCCACACCATCTATATGAATCTGCACTTGTGCATTTCTAAGGGAATTCCCAAATAAGATCATTTTAGTTTTACTTAGATTTAGCGATAGTTTGTTCCTGTTAAACCATTTTTTAATTTTGCACATTTCTGAAGTAATTGTATCCAGCAGCTCCTTTAGATTCCCCCCAGAACAAAAAATATTTGTGTCATCTGCAAATAATACTAATTTTAATATATCAGATGCCTTACAAATATCATTTATATAAATAATAAATAATTTTGGATACATATTGTACTTTACACTCCACACCTGGTCTTGATGGTCGAAGAATGTGTTGATGCAATAATAATGCAATAATATTTAACAAGCATGGACCGGACCAGGGATTTTTTTGGGGTGACCTTTGGAGAGTCACACCAGCAGGTGGTGTAATCCTTACAGCCAGAAGCATCAAGGCTGCCCAGATTGGGGCTCGTAGTGCAGCAGGATCAGCTCTCCTGTTCATGTGTGTCGTGACCAGAGCATGCCCCAGCTCTCTCTCAGGTACAACAGACCCACATCTCCAATATTCTGATAACTTCCAGTCTATAACTTTAAACCAGATGATAAATGCATGCATGGCCTCAGTCTTTCTTCTTTAAAATGACAGTCAGAGTGCTCCTAGATCACATGAATACTCTGTGATACTTTGATTGGGGACTCATGGCATTAAGTGAATAAATACTTCAATTTGTTCATAATTTGGGTGCGTTTGACAGGAGTCTCCTGGGACAGCGACAAAACGATGTTTTTTTAAAAGCACTTGTCAAAGCAGAAATGTTTTTAAAGTGAAGAACTAACTGATTGACGAAGACATTAAAAGGCTGGAATAATAGAAAAACACACGTAAGATTAAAGAAAAAATACATACCTCTAAATCTTGAGGAAAATGATTAATCGTGGCTCTAGAACAGGCGCTTGTTATATTTTTGTTGTTGCCTTGAATTCACCGGAAGATGGCAGTCTTAGCACTTAGACTGAGAACGGAAATTCGGGCGAGTCAATAAAGCGAACAGACGAGGTGTTTCTGAATGTTTCATGTTTGCTTTAAAACTGCACTTTCCACCTTTGACACGCACGCATCTTCAAATAAAGATCCCGGTTCGGCATTTCCATCGTTTCTAATGAGCGTAAATAAGAAGCACTGCTACCGCTGGCTGGTCTCAGGTCAGCGAACACCTACGGATCAGGCCAGCCCTATTTGGGAATGGAATCCCGGACACCAACTTGATTGACGCTTCAGGAGAGCCAATTGGAGACGGGGTTCGACACTCGTGACCAATAGTAAATATCCAGTACTCTGTGCTCCAACTTTTTATTGAAGCAAGACCCCTCGAGTCAGCGAGGCATGCACCTTACTTTTTCCTCGCCGAGCTCCTGGAAATCATGCTCGCAAAGTGCGAAAACATCGGGGATGCTGTGAAGTCTTTCATTGGCGGTTTGTGGATCGCTTTAAGCGTCTGTTCGGTGTGTGTTCGCGGCCAGGAGGGTAAGAAAACGCCTGTTATGTTGACGCTTTTGATAAGATAAGGATTGTGACGTGGGAGACGGATTTTCGCACATTTCGTTAGCTGCAACTAGAGCTGATAAGTAACTCGCTTGGTTTGAAGAGTTTCCCCCGTTTTCTTTAAATTAATCGCACGATTATTAATAATCAAGACTGATGACGTAGGATGAGCACCCAGTCGGCAGCCTCCTTTAAAACACATTTCTGCTGTGTTTAAGATAGTTGTTGTCATATAACCCCGCTAACTATTGCTGTTTAATGCATTTTCATCAGAAACTGTTGTTGGAAAGACCACCATACCTTGTCCTGTATTCTGCACTGTACACATCCACACTTATTTTGCTGTTCCGATCATCTTTATGGCTCTAAGCCAGAATTAAAGTGCATTAATGTGTCTGTATTTAGGTGCAAAGGTCGCCGATTGGAAGTCATGTTAACAGTTTTTACAAACTCTTTCCTTGCCCGTGTGTACCTAGTGATCCCAGCAATCCTTTCCCAGAGTCTTTTTCTTTCTTTCAACACATCAGTCAGGCCTGTTATGAATCACAGTGACCATATATAAACATAGACAAACAAGCTATTGCCCTGCAGACTATGACTCCACCAGTCAGCCATACCACAAATCTTCAGTGTTGTTTTTGTCTGTCTCTGGGGCTTTGATTTCCGCACATCGGAAGATGATTAAGCCCTGGATACATCATTATTTAACTTAGCAAATATGCTATGCCCCAGCTTTGGTGGGGCATAGGTTTGGGGGAAACATTTCTACCTCCGGGATTGAATAAGGGGATGTAGTGACAGGTAGCATAGGTGAACATCCTGTCTGCTAGTGTGGACCTGTAAGGACCTGCCAACAAAGCATGAAGTGGAAAACTATATTGCTGGCGTGTTTCTGATGGACTGTCTGCTATCCTAACACCCAAGCTTTATGTGGTTTAGCTCCTGAGATTTCTAAACAGGTCAGAACAGCCTGAACACGAACCCAACAGACTGTGGGTGAAACAGCCCAGTGATCAGGGGGGCAATTACTGGTCACCCAGACATTTCCCAACATTACGCCCTCTTTAAAGCTGGGAAAAGTCCCCCGTGGCCGGCCTCCGGAAGGTGACAGATCCATGCTCTGCTGCCCAGAGTTACAGTATGTGGCTGCGGTATTTCCAGGGAATCCTTTGGGGAATTGAGGGGGGACAATAACAGTTGAAGGCTTATGATATGAGGAACTGAAGTGCTGTTGGGAAGGAGGTGACCAGCTCGGCTGATGCAGGAGGAGACACAGGGCGAATGGAAGGCTACCCTGTAACTTCCAGTCAACAAATATTCAGGAGCCTTTTAAGGGAAGCAAGGACAGCGCTGGTGTTTAGGCTCAGACTGACCCTGGTGCCTTCCTCAGGTTTTGACCATTCTTGGAGCACATTACTTGGGGGAGTGAAAAGTGAGGGCAGGGAGTGTTAGTGTCTGAGCTTGTCACCCCCGCAACACCAATCTCTGTGTGACTCCTGTAGGAAAAAATTTTTGTGACCAACAGGAATCTTAAACCATCTGAATGTTTGTGTTTTCTGTTCCTCTTCAAGTGTTAGTCATAGCAAGATGTAGTATATCAGCACTATGCTTTTTTTTTCCTTCCTTGCTTTTGCCTGGGGAAAAGCACCTCTTGGTACTTAATCTTAAACAATTATGTTTTGCTCTGTATCCAACGTGCAGGTCACAGGTGTTACAGTTGAGCTCTTCCCTCGTTGGTATTTCAAAAAGTCGTGATGACAGAAGGATAAGCATGCCCTGAGCTGCCGTACATGCTCAGATTAGACTCGTTGCTCATCTGTCTTGAAATGGTGTATTAACAAAGCCTTTAATATTTGTATTTAATTAAGAGAGCCAGTTACGTAGCCGTCTCAGGTTATGTCATTTTGGCTTTCCTTAAGGTCTATAATTCCACTCTGCTCACTGCCGTCAGCAGCTGAACAGTTGAAAATATTAATCAACTAGATGCTGACTCAGTTTGTAAAGATTTGTGACCAAAAGGCAAAAGATGCTGAGATGAGTGCCGGGAAAAAATGTTAGTAATGGAGAAGTTTAAGCAGTTAAACATGATAACTCAAGAAGGAAGTCACCAAGGATTTTAAAATTGATATCAGTGGTCAACTTTTCGAAAAAATCACTCAGGATTTTCACAAGTGCATCTTGGGGCAGGGATAGCTCAGTAGGTAAAGTGGTCGCCCCATGATCGGAAGGTCGGCGGTTCGAATCCACTTAACGGCTACCCTGAGGTACCCCTGAGCAAGGTACCGTCCCTACACACTGCTCCCCGGGCGCCTGCTTAGTGGGCTGCCCACTGCTTCACTGAGTGAATGGGTCAAATGCAGAGAAAAACAAGTAATTTCCCCATGGGGATCAATAAAGTATCCATTATTATTATTATCTGTTCGGAGGCTGAGAGGTAGCAGTGGTAGCACCAGTATTTTTTATGTTTGAA